CAGGCTCGCCTTCGGCTTCTGCCTCCGGTTCCCCGTCAGGTTCCTCCTCGGGGTCCTCCTCGGGTTCCTCTTCAGGCTCTTCCTCAGGTTCCTCCTCAGGCTCCTCCTCAGGTTCCTCCTCGGACTCCTCTAGCCACCCGTTGTTTCCCTGATTAGGGAAGTAGGGGTCTCCCGGGTGATGAAAACCAGCCATGCTGTCTGCGCGAGTACGTAAATATACTACATTATCCTAGGATGCTATATCTATCATACATACTAAGCAACATTCTCTTTTTGGGTGATAAGGGTAGTTGGCCTGGCTATCCCGATCTCATCAAGACGTGTGTTAGTTTTACCTTGGAGAGAACGTAGTTGATCAGGCTACATTCACTCCTTGGTATCCCTAAGAACAGTCCCGAATTAACCAAGATACCAGTATTATTGTGTTTGATTCAGCGTTAGGTCTTATTCCTAATGCAAGCAAGTGTGTTTTATTTACTCGTGTTTGTTCAGAGTTATGTTAGTCCCTCTTTTTGGTTTATAGTTGCATATCAATGTATGGCTCGACATGCTAGTTCACTATAAACAAAGCTCTGATACCAACCTGTCACACCCCCGAACCAGACGGCGGAAACGTCCGGGGGCTGTCGTGACTCAATTGAATACCATAACATTGAATATATATGAAACATAACAACATTCGTCACCATTCATCAACATAGTACAACCAGTAGTGTTTACATAACATACATTGTTTAAACATTACATTCCCCAAAAATTAAGTTGTTTAATTCATACAAAAATAAACCGCAACCGTCACTGGATATGATTTCCCTTGATTCACTGGCTCCCTGAGAATACAAGTATTTTGAAAAACGTCAACATATGAAATGTTGGTGAGTTCATAAGTAGTGTTTGAAATCGAATGTTTGTATTGTTTGAAAACCACCAGAAAATCCGATATTTTCTGAAAAGATAAGTTTCGAAAACGTTTGTGAAGATCCATAGGTATGCTTGTTGTTTCTATACTTGTAAAAAAAATGTTCGTTTAGAATGTATGCATTTCAAATTTGTAAGTATTGAAAACCCTAGGAAAACCCGATGTTCTCCTAGTTCCTTGAATTACGTGATGTTACATTGAAACCATTGCATATATAGTGTCAGTCCCAGGCGACGTTGGAAGGTTTTCGAGCAGGATTATTTACTACAAACCCGCGTTACACAAACGCCCAGTTTATAGTTATACTAACGACTCCGAAGGCGTCGTCAATACTAATCGCGTTATCCAATCGCCCTGACTAGGTGAAGTCCCACATCCGAAGAGAAAGAGGTCACGAAGACCCCGGTAACTCCATTAGCCGGTTGGGGATAAAATGTACGAGGGGTCCCAGACCCGCCTCGCATGAAATGTAGACCTTACTAGCAAGACCAAAGGACCCTTGGGGACCGGTGGTATACAAGCCATTGAAAGTCCATTTACGTTGTGTCGGATCGGTAAAACCCAACACTCCGTAAAAAAAATGTCTTCGGGCCTTAAGATCAGGTCATTGGGCTAGCTAGGCTCAACGAACAAGATTTTACACTTGTGGGGCCCAAAGATGGTGCATAGACGTCTGTGCACACTCGCATGTGTATGTATAACCAAACGTTACTTGTATGAATTGTAGTGTCGTAGTGTTAGTAGTTGTAGATTTCTATTGGCTCGAGACCGAGCCAATTCGTTTAACAACGACTTTTGGTATTGTAATGTATTGTATTCCGTTGATAGTCGTGGTGCCATCATTTGATCAAATTGGGTATATTGAACTAGCCTTGAAATATTCCTGTTTTCAGCCCCTCATCATTTGTAAAATTTACATTTTCAACCCTTTATATTAAATACTTCCCGGTTTAGTCCTTAAACTATTTTTCTTGACATTTTAACACCAAAAATTATTGAAATTAATATTTTTCAACATATTTTTCATAAAAACAGTTTAAGTCCTTGAAAATGCAGTTTTCACGGTTTTAACCCCTTCTTTTCGCAATTTTTACAATTTTGGCCCAATTTGGAAAATTTTTGCAACTTTGGTCCTTTTTAAATTTAAAAAGCATTTTAAACCTTTGAAAAGGAGTTGGAACACTTATAGTCCACTGTTTTACAGAAAGTTACAGTTTTGGCCCTCCAAAACAGAAAAATTCGCATAATGGGCCTTATTGGGCCGAAAGTTACATTTTTAACCCATTAAGCTTAAAATTTATGTTTTTAGTCCCCTAAATGAGTATATTTCCAGAAATTTATTTATGAAAACTGTTTTGGCACACTTCATCCATCAGAATCTGTGACATGTCGATTTGGGCCCTTATTTTTGCATTTTTCACATTTTAGGCCCAAAATTTGTGTTTTTAACCCAAAGAAATTATTGCTAAACTACTTAGCCAATTTTTCTTGAAGCACTTTGTGTTTAGAAATATATTTGAAGTTAAAATCATGTAGCACAAGTTATATCTCGGTTTTGATGAGTTTTGAGGCTAGATCCAACATAAAAACACATAAAAGCATACATATAAGCATGGAAATCATACAAGGCATACAAACACATATAGATCTACACTTTCACTTGTATTCCCCCCCCCCCACAAAACTCATAAAAACAGAAAATAGGGGGTATGAAGCTCACCTTGGGGTGTTGATTCGGTTTTGCAAGGAAAATGGAAGGAAAAATGAAGTGTTTTTGGCCTTGGCTCCCTTTGATGAAGATCTCGAGTTTTGAGATGGTTCTAGGGTGCAAGATCACGATTTTTGCATAGATTAGGAAAGGATTTTGATAACAAAAGAATTTAAACCATAGATCTATGCATAATCTTACCTTAGATGATGATTTACTTGCAAAATCCTCTTGGAAAGTCCCTAATTTTCGAGATTTTTGGAGAGGGGAGGAAGGAGAGTTCTTGAGTGTTCTAGAGAGAATTTGAGATATTTTTGGTGTGTGTGAGAGGGGATTCGGCCGAGAGTGGGAAGAGAGAAGAGAGGAAGTGATATTTGAAGTGATACATGCATGGAGGTATGTGATATGTGCCTAGAAATCCATTAGATAATAGTGAGGTGTCACTCACAAGTCAACATGCTTCCTTTCCTCTTGGGCTCATGCATTGGGCCGAGAATGGGGAGAGAAGAAGGAAAAATTGGGCTCTTTGCCCCTAAGCCCAACATTAGAGGTAGTTTAGGGTATTTATTGGCCTTATAAAATAAAATTGTGATTTTTATGCTTTATTAAGCTAGGTTAGGTTAAATTATGGATCAAAACTTGTGTTTTATTTCATTCTAGGTTCTACCTAGCCCAAAATATTGCAATAAACGAATGTGGGTCCAATTAGAACCCAATTAGGGTCCTAAACCCATGATAGTCCAATTTGGAAATTCATTGGTCCATTTGGATCCAATAAGGAAGTCCTAGTCCTAAATGGACTTAACAAGAACTTCTAGGGTCTCCAATTGTTTGATGACTACTTATAGTACTTGTATCTTGTATTTGATTGAAGTTTTTGATTCACATGTACTTGAATGCATAGATTACATGGCTCAAAATTTATAGTTGTGACATCGGATTAGCTACTCCTAAGAGATTATGTAGAGGATGTATGCGTATGACTAGTTGATGAGTCTATTGGGTTGCAGGTCGTGATGATCCTTGAGATAAATATGGGTAGGTAGTATGGGCCTGTAGTATTGGAAGCACAAGACCCATACAAGTATCAAGGAAGTCACGAACCCCGTGGATGTGAAATTTCGTATGATGTTTTAGTATGAATTATGGTTTTCTGATGTATTCCGGTTTGTTTTCATTATGTCGATCACAAGGGGTTTTGGATCAAGAGTAGGTGGCCCAACGAAGCCATGATTGACTGATGATGAGATTCGGAAGCTGATCTCTACTGAGGTGACTGCAGGTGTTTAGGGTGCTATCCCGAAGGTTTTTGGATCCATTAAGATCACGATGCTTGAGTTTTTCGATAAGCGACATATTGCCGTGACTGAGGATGTTGTTGCAGCAGCTACCACAGCTGTTGTTGCTGAAGGAGTTCAAGGGATCCCATTCTAGAACACAGACTTCAGTAATATGAATACCCAAAAGTTTGATGGGGTCAAGGACCCGATCATGGCCATGAGGTGGATTTTTGATGTGGAGGCCTGCTTCTTCACTTGTTCCCGAAGGATTGGAAGGTCAGGTGCGCCCTAAACCTTCTTTGTCTTGGCGCGAAGGACTGGTGGAAGCTGATGATTGATTCTTATATCCCTGAGTAGAGGATTGCTATAACTTAGGGCAGTTCTTGGAGATGTTTTGCATAGAGTATGTTCCTTGGTGGAGAGGGAGAGGTTGGCTCAGGAGTATCTGTCGTTGAGGAAGATGACATAGTTAGTGATGGAGATCGCCTAGATGTTTACTGAGAGAGCTTTTTTCTATCCCAAGTATTCTGCTTCGAAACACGCCTGGATGTCGCGATACTTGAGCATACTTAAGACTGGGATTCAAGAGTTTGTATCTACCCAACGATACCATACCTTCTCCGTACCTTCTCTGAGCTCTTTGTGTGCACGACCGTTGTTTGTTGTCATCTCAACCACGGTCCGGTTCGTGGAGAGTATACCGGTAGGTTTAAGAAGATGACAGGAGAAAAAAAGCTTAGCCTATGAGTATGTATTGTTATCCTATTTCAGTGACAATAGTCTTTTTATTTTTGTGAAAAAGAATTTGCATCCCTAAAATATTCAAATGTAAATATTTAAGAATGATATTTCTTTTTATTGTTCGATCTATTTAGCTTATGTGCTTTAAATCATTGATAATTTTGCTTATTTGCTTTAAATCACTGATAATTTTATTCGAAAAGAAACATAAATTCTTATTTCTAAGGATTTTTTTTCTTGTTTTTTGTTTTTATTTTTGTTTTTGTTTTAAATATATTAAGTTGGGAAATAGAGGATTAGAGGGTTAAGTTTTTTTAGGCGAAACAGGGCTTTCAAGTTCAAGTTCTCACTGCACAGAAATTATTGTCCACCGGTTTCTCTAGGGTTAGAGCTCAGAGCTCAACGACAGCAATGGAGGGATGGGATCCGACCACCAAGTCAACATTGACACAAATTCCTCTCCTAACAGTTAAAGCCGGTCCTCGCGATGGCGCCACTTGGACTCAGCGTCTGAAGGAGGAGTACAAAGCCTTGATCGCCTATACTTCAATGAACAAATCCAGAGACAACGATTGGTTTCGTATCTCCGCTGCTAATCCCGAAGGAACACGATGGACAGGAAAGTGTTGGTATGTGCATAATTTGCTCAAATATGAATTTGATCTCCAATTTGATATTCCGGTGACCTACCCTGCCACAGCTCCTGAACTTGAGCTTCCCCAACTCGATGGAAAGACTCACAAGGTTCGTAAAGAAACCCATTTTTATGCAGTTTTGCATATTTTAAATCAATTGTAAGATCTTACAGCATCGATGATTGTTAGTCGATTTTGGCTGTTTATATTTCAATAGGAAAACCTTTATTATCAATTCATAGGATCCATTTCAACTTTAATTTGGCGTGAATTTAACGCCTTGATCTTAACAATTTTGATATAAAAATTGAAGATACCGTAGCAACTCCTGTTATGAGATGTGATGAAGGACCCACACAATAGAGAAATTAGGAAAGCTATAGATGTCTTAGTTTCTGGTTATTTCTTTTGAATCAAAATCAGTATCATCTTTGGGTAGCTGAATTGAATCTTTTACTGGACTCTGCTTGCTGAGTTGGGTTACTAGTCTAAGAATCAATATAAAAAAATAATTGGGGAGTGCAATTCAATTCCAAACTACTTATGCATGCTCAGGAATCTTGCATTAAGTAATACATATTCAGGTGAAAAAAAAAAAACAGTATTTAGTTAGAAAGAATGCGAGGCATATCAAATTATCAATGAATCCTATTTATACAAAAGGGCTATTCTTCTAGTAACCTTTGAGCTGGCTCACACAACCACCCACGCCAAAGCATCATGTGAGATGTAATGTCTGCAAAAAGGGCTTGACAATAATCCTTTTTGCAAAAAAAAAACAAATTCTTTTTGTTTGTTATCCAACTTTGAAAAGCTTTGGTTTCCGCAAATTCAGAGAAAAACCTTGTAGCTATAATAACTTACTTACAGATGGATGGATTTGTTTGTAAAGAAGTGATACAGTCTATCCTTATGTTTTTATTAAATGTTTGTTCATTTTGTGGCTGGCTACAGATGTATAGAGGTGGGAAGATTTGCTTGACGGTGCATTTCAAGCCACTCTGGGCTAAAAACTCGTAAGAAACTTACCTAGTAGATTCATCGTATTTATGAACAAGCCTCTACCAGGACTGGTTATGTGAACAAATAAAAGTCTACAATTATGTTTTTCTTTTAAACATTATTTTATATAAAGTGAGGTTTGTATATTTCAGGCCTAGATTTGGTATAGCACATGCGCTTTGTTTGGGGCTTGCACCGTGGCTTGCAGCGGAAATACCAGTTCTTGTGGATTCTGGCATGATCAAGCATAAAGATGATGCTGTCTCCACCAGTGAGGCATAATAGTTTCTTGTTACTATCTTATCGCTTAACAATACAATATCCAGTATTACTATATAACATTACAATTTCCCTTTTGAACTTGAGTTGTGCTTTGGCTGAATCACAGACAATAAGTATCCGTATCCCGGACTAACTGTGCAATATATGATTCTGATGTCTGCAATTGAATCAAAAACTTTAATTTATAGTGTAATTTTGAAATACATGTTTGTCGCTGACAATTGTTTCTTGTAAGGCCAAGTACAAGAAATAGCACTGTTTTGCGCCGCCGGCTATTTACAAACCTTAAAAAGGCTACCATCATCCCGCCATTCTTGTTTTATGCTTCTATGCTGTTACTTCTTGTTCTTTTCTTTTTTCATCAGCACTGGCTGTGTCGGTTTATGGTTGTGCATTGGATTTTGTATTTATTGCTCATCTTCTTATTGCTGCATTATAGAAACCTCATGCAGGAAATGTGTGTTATCGAAGCAAGCTTTAATTTTTCAAATTCCTTGTGTTTCTGTGTGTGATTTTTTAGTTTGGTTTCATGTTCCTTTTCCCCATCTCATTTAGGTTCTTATAGGGCGTGTACGGTAAAACTAGCTAGGAGCGGATAGCTTGTAGCGTTTTGTTAAACGCTACGTGAAGTAGGATTTGGATTTAGAGCGTTTTGTTTACTACTAAATGCTAGAAGCTTGTAGTTTCAAACGAGACTGATTGTTCAAAACGTAAAGGTTTGTCAAATGCTAGAAGCTAGAAGCTCTCAAAAGCTCCTAAGCACTCATTTCCGAACACGGCCATAATGATAGGATCAAACTTTTATTTTTCAAATCCTTTTTTATTTCATCGATTTGTTTTGTCGGTTTTATGGCAGGTTTGAATGAAAAGGCTAAAGTTACACGAATTAATTTTTTTTGGTAAATGTAGATTGTTTTCAATTTCAGTTCAATTTTTGTAATTTTAATTGATTTGTTGGGTTGTAATTCGTACGAGATGAGTTGTATGGGTCAAATATGTTCCATCCTTAGATATAGTGTTATAAGGCTGATGTCGTATTAAGAGTTTTATATCTCCCATATCTTCTCTTAATTTTAATGTTTATGATATACTATGTGTTCCTAATTTTTATGTGAAAATATCACTTGTGGTGGCTAAAGAAAGACTACACAACTACTTTATAAGTCAATATATGAATTGTTTTTCTTATATACGTGATTATCTTAATATTATGTTTCTCTTATGTCTTCATTCTAGAATCTATATACACATTATTTGAACTATTACTAATGGAAAATGACTTAAAAATCCAACGAAGTTTCCAAACCGTTCAAAAAACCCAGATTATGTTTTGTTTGTTCAAGAAAACCCAACGAACTTAACATTTTCTCTAAAAAAACCCAACTAACGTATGATTTTGTTCAATTCTCTAAAAAAGCCCTAAGACTAATAACTTCAAATTCTTTTGATCTTCATGATATCTTATTATGAACTAGAGACATGGATCAACTGTTAATATCATGATTCAAGATTATGTTTCCCGATACTGACTTGTGGTGACCTTTCAGACTGATTGTCAGCTTAGCCAAACATTTGTTGTCAGCACCAAATCAACGAAAGGCCTAGAGATATCCACTTCTCTATGATAGCAAAATGATCAATTAAACTTTGACTACATAGGTTTGTACTATTCCTCATGCAATACTTAGTCAAACCCTGTATAAAAGCCAGTTACAGACAACTTTGGGGAGAGAAGATACAACCGATTATAGAACAAAACTTCATGCATCTCCATTTGAAGAGTACATAAAATAATTATCTTAATTTACTCATGACATGATCAATGAAGTAATCTTTAAGCATGGTTACTCCAATACTTAAAATCTAAGCACTCATAGTATTGGTCGTAGGGCTTTGCTATGTTCATCCATATGAACAATCTACCAATACTATGACAATCTTAATTCACTACCATCTTCCAAGGATAGGATTGATTGTGGAATGTTTGAATAATAAATTATTCTATAAAGGATTCTAAACATACAAAATTAGGAATAAGGATAATATGAATAGTAAAAGTAACTTATTATTAATAATTACCAAATAAAAAAATCCAATGCGTTCCAAATAGAGATCAAACTATAAGTTATGTTATCCAACCAACTCACCAGCAAATCTAATGCCAATAAACCTAGTATGAAGATCATGCTTAATATGTGACAGTGGTTTTGTGAGTGGATCAGTTAGATTGTCTTCGGATGGAACTCGACTCACAATAATGTATCCATTTTCTACAAACTTCCTTATAAGATGGAACTTTCTCTTAATATTCCTTGTGCGCTTGTGATCTCTAGGTTCTTTAGTTAAGGCAACTGCACCCTCATTATCACAGAAGATTTCAACCGATTCATCTATGCTAGGAGCAACACCTAAATCATTGATGAAATTCTTTAGCCGCACTACTTCTTTAGCCGCTTCATTTGCTACAATGTACTCTGACTCTGTAGTTCAATCATCAATTGTTTCTTGCTTGGAACTTCTCTAAGTTACTGCTCATCCATCAAATATGAACACAAAGCAGACTGAGATATTGAATTATCTCTGTCATTTTGGAAACTTACATCCACATATCCTTTGATTCTTAGCTCATCTTTACCAACATAAACCAAGAATATATATTTAGTCCTCCTAAGATACTTTTGAATGTTCTTGACAGTAATCCAACGACTTTCACTAGGATCCGCTTGATAATGACTCGTCATACTAATAGCGTATGAGACGTCTGTCCTTGTGCATATCATGGCGTACATGATCGATCCTATGGTAGAAGCATATGGGACTCGACTCGTTTTTCCAGTTCTTCACTAGGACTAAGACATTGGCTTTTGTTCAAAATAGTGTCACGTTGTATAGGTACAAATCCCTTCTTATAGACTTTTCCATCTTGAATTTCTTCAAGATTTTATCTAACTATGTGTTTTAGCGAAGTCCTATTAGACGTCTAGATCTATCCCTATATATCTTGATACCAAGTATATAGGCAACTTCTCTGAAGTCTTTCATAGAGAAACTATTCCCAAGTTATGCTTTTACACTATTAAGTGTAGGGGTGTCGTTTCCTATGAGTAGAATGTCATCAACATACAAGACAAGAAATATAACTACCCTCCCACTAGATCTAACATACACACAATGCTCATCTTCATTTTGTGAGAAACCAAACTCCTTGACTTTCTCATCGAAACAAATGTTCCATTTATGAGGTGCTTGTTTAAGTCCATAAATAGACTTTTGAAGCTTAAATACCATATTAGGAGACTTGGACTGTACAAAACCTTCTAGATAAGCCATGAAAACTTCCTTAGTCAATTTCCCGTTAAGGAAAGGAATTTTTACATGCATTTGCCATATTTCATAATCATGAAATGCATCTATAGTATCATAATAGACTCAATCATAACTACTAGTGATAAGGTTTCCTCATGCTAGTCTTCTTCTTGAAGACCCATTTACATCTAATGGTTTTAAGACCAGGTGTAGGACAACCATGTTCGATACTTGGTTATCTTAGATGGATTTAATCTTGTTGTCCATCACCTCTTACCAATTAGTAGCCTCTGGGCTCGCTATGGCTTCCTGATAGCTGAGTGGCTCATTATCGCCTAACAGATTGTAATCCTCTATGAAATCCATAGAACTCAGGTTGACGACCTTCACTACCGGATCTATGAGTTGGTGATGAAAGAACATTAGATTCCTTAACAGGTTGTTCAACCTATTGTTGGGTTCTAGTGTCAACTTCAGGTTCTTCATTGGTTGACTCTTGAATCTCATCAAGATCAATTGGAATCCTACTAGATAGTTTTGTTGAGATATCAACTCTCTTTCATGAAAGACTTCCATACGAGCAACAAGTTCTTAGTAGGCTTGTAGAACAAGTATCCAAAAGAGTCTTTGGGATAACCAACGAAGTAACATCTTTTGGATATGGGTTCAAGGTTGTCAAGCACTTCTAGATGAACGAAAGCCTCACAAACCATACCTTAATTCGCATAAGAGAAGGATGGGTCTCTTTCCATATTTTGAATGGTGTTTTCTCAACCTTCTTAGTTGGTACAAGGTTTAGAATACAAGCAGCCGTTTCTAGAGTATAACCCTCGAAACTTACTGGAAGTGTAGCACGAGTCATCATAGAACAAACCATGTCAAACAAGGTTCAATTTCTCCTTTATAACACACTACAATGTTGTGATGTTCTTAGTGGAGCTAGTTGTGTGACTATTCCACAACTTCTAAGATGATCGTAGAAGTCATCACTCAGACACTCTCCACCCCTATCAAAACGAAGTATCTTGATTCTCTTGCCCATGTGGTTCTCTACTTCATTTTGAATTTATTAAATACTTTAAATGTCTCAGACTTATGTTTAATCAAATAAACATATCCATATCTACTAAAATTATCAATAAATGTGACAAAGTATATTTCATCATGTCTAGTGATGCGCTTGAACGGACCACATACATCCGAATGGATGATGTCCAACATGTATGCTCCTCTCTCACAGTTTTCTGTGAAAGGAGACTTTGTTATCTTTCAAAGTAGACAAAATTTTCAATCTCCATTAAACTCTAGGTTAAATGGTTCCAAGATCCCATCCGATTGAGCTTGGCGATTCTCTTCTTTGTGATATGGCAAGGTGATAATGTCATAGACATGATTTATCGAAAGAATTTGGACTAACATTTAAGATTAAGTTATTTTTGTTACTTACAACAATCATAGATTCACATATTCCTTTGTAAGGTCTTTCTTTAAAATAAATAACATTATCTCTGTAACCAAAATAGAAGCTTTACTATTATTAAAACCAAAAGTAAAACCATCTATCCACAATGCATAAAATGAAATGATGTTTCTTGACATGTAAGTCGAATAACAACAATCTTTTAAAACAACTGAAAAACTAGAAGGAAATGAAAGCTTGTCATTTCCAATCTTGGTAACGACTGCTCTGCTCTTGTTCCCCATAATCAAGTTAAGTTCTCCATGTCTTAGCTTCTTACTTTGACTTAGTCCCTGCACATCAGAACCAACGTAGGTTCCACCTCCTGTGTCAAGTATCCAATTATTAGAAGTAGAAGCCAAATGTAATTAAATTATAAATATACCTGAAGTGCCAATAACTTTGGCCTCGTTCTTCTTAAGATCCTCTAAATTCTTAGGGAAACTACATTTCTAATGTCATTTTTCTTGGAAATAGTAGCATATAGCCTCTTTAGGTTCATTCACAGGTGTTATATCTAGAATGTCTTTCTTGGGTTGGAATTTGGACTACTAAATGTCCTTTTCCTTTTTCCCTTAAGATGATGATGAAAGGACCTCTTTCTTTTGACACCACCTTACCTAATATCCAATATAAGAATGGTTGAGCTAGAGTTACTAGGTGGAACAATGATTTCTTCAGCAATCTTGAGAACCCCATGTAGCTCCATGATACCCTTCTCCAAACCATTCATATAGTAGTTCATAATGAACTGCTTGTATGCACTAGTGAAAGAGTTAAGGATGACATCTGTAACATCCTATTTCCTGCCATTTATGGGCCATGGGTTGAAAGTTGATTGTGTAAGTCTTGGGCCTTAAGGAGGCAAA